ATGTGACGCAGACAGGTCCTGTTTTCTCTGGGCCTCCATATCTCCGGAGGATAATTACTAGTATAACTAGCAACTCACAAGAGCAGGCTTATACTTTATAAATACTTGGGAAGATGTTCTGCCTCATGGTGGTCAAAGAAATAAAAGTAATCAAATGTCATCTTAAAAAAAAAATCTTTATTGTTGAGAGTATTACAGATGTTCCCTCTTTCTCCCCCCGCATTGTCCCCCTCCACCCAGTTCCCACCCGGTCCCAGACCTCCACCACCCTATTGTCAGTGTCCATAGGTAATGCATATGTTATTTGGTTAATCTCTTCCCACACACCCCCTTCCCTCTGAGATTCATCCATCTGTTCCATGTTTCCATGTCTCTGGTTCTATTTTACTCATCAGTTTATTTTGTTCATTAGATTCCTCGTTTGTGTATTTTGGTTTTTAGGTTCAATTGTTGATATGTATATATTGCCATTTTATTGTTCATATTTTTTATCTCTTCTCCCCTTCCTCTTCCCCTCCCCCTCTCCCTCCTCCTTCTCCTCCCACTGAAAGGTCGCAGGTTTGATTCCAGTCAAGGGCACATACCCGGGTTGCAGCTTGATCTCCAGTGGGAGGTTTGCAGGAGGCAGCCAATCAATGATTCTCCATCATCATTGATGTTTCTATCTCTCTCCCTCTCTGAAATCAATAACTATATATTAAAGAGAGAGAGAGAGAGAGAGAGAGAGAGAGAGAGAGAGAATGCCCTTGTACTAATCATGTAATACTGGTGATGAACTCCTTTAGCTTTTTCTTGTCAGTGAAGCTCTTTAATTGACCTTCAATTCTAAACGATAGCTTTGCTGGGTAGAATAATCTTGATTATAGATCCTTGCTATTCATCACTTCAAATATTTCTTGCCACACCCTTCTGGTCTGCAAAGTTTCTGTTGATATCAGCTGACAGTCGAATGGGTACTCCCTTGTAGGTAACTAACTGCTTTTCTCTTGCTGCTTTTAAGATTCTCTCTTTATCTTTACCTTTAGCATTTTTTTAAATATATGTTTTATTGATTTTTTTACAGAGAGGAAGGGAGAGGGATAGAGAGTTAGAAACATCGATGAGAGAGAAACATGGATCAGCTGCCTCCTGCACATCCCCCACTAGGGATGTGCCTGCAACCGAGGTACATGCCCTTGACTGGAATCGAACCCGGGACCCCTGAGTCTGCAGGCCAATGCTCTATCCACTGAGCCAAACCAGTCAGGGCTACCTTTAGCATTTTAATTATGATGTGTCTTTGGGCCTCTTCAGGTTCCTCTTGTTTGGGACTCTGCGCTTCCTGGACTTTTATAAGTCTATTTCTTTCACTGGGTAGGGGAAGTTTTCTGTTATTATTTCTTCAGATATGTTTTTAATATCTTGCTCTCTCTCTCCTTCTGGCACCCCCATGATACAAATGTTGGTATGCTTGAAGTTCTCCCAGAGGCTCCTTATACTATCTTCATATTTTTGGATTCTTTTTCTTCTTTCTGCTCTTCTGATTGGGTTTTTTGCTTCCTCATATTCCAAATCACTGAGTTGATTTTCAGCATCCTCTATTCTACTGTTGATTCCCTATAAATTATTCCTTATTTCAGTTAGTGTATGCTTAATTTCTGTCTGGTCCTTTTTCATGTCTTTGTTTTCACTAAGATCCTTGAAAAATCTCACGAAGTCCCTTGAAACTCTCATTAAGATCCTTGAGCATCCTTATAACTATTGTTTTGAACTCTATATCTAGTAGTTTGTTTGCCTCCATTTTATTCTTTTTCTGGAGTTTCTTTTGTTTTTTCATTTGTGACATGTTTCTGTGTCTCCACATTTTGGCTGCTTCCCTATGTTTGTTTCTATGTATTAGGTAGAGCTGCTATGTCTCCTGGAATTGGTAGAGTGGCCTTGTATAATAGGTGTCCTGTAGGGCCCAGTGGCTCAGCCTCCCCAGTCCCCTGAGCTGGGCACTCTAGGTGTGCCCCTTTGTGGGCTGTGTGCGCAGTTTTGTTGTACTTGATTGTTGTTGGCATCACTGGGAGGAATTGATCCCCAGGCTAGTTGGCTGTGAGGAAGGACCAGCTGTGACTACAGTGGGAGAGCTGCTGTGCAGGAGCTGACACTGTGGAGCAAGACTTGTTTTAATGGGGCTTTGATGCTCATTGAGTCTTCCTTTTCAGTGTGTCGCTTGTGATGTGTAGAGTTGTAATCTTGTATGGTGTGAAGCTGTCCACCAGGTGCACTGGCTCTGGGCCTCCCGGGAGGTGCAAAGTCAGCCACTGCCTGGGGCCACCGGGCAGGAGCTTGAGAGCAGTCTACAGATAGGCTGTTACTGCCGGGCCTGGGCTCTCTTATTGAGAAACCCCAGGCAGGAGCTACACTGACACCAACTGCTGCTTGTTTAACCAGTTAACTGGAAACCATCCCCACACGCCACGATATTTTGAATTTAATTTCAAAATGTCTGCCGCTTGCGTCTTTTGACGCTTATGGCGTACAAATGGTTAAGAGATCTTAGTCTGAAGCCTGAGGCAGGCCATTCCTTTGGAAAAGCCTCTCCAAACAGCTTGGGTGGGGCTACAAATTTGGTGGGGCAGGGTCTCAGGGAATCCCAGGACAGAGTCAGTGTAGGCCAGGCTGATGGAGACTCAGATGTGGTGCCTGCCAGTTAGCCCTGCAACAGAGGAGGTCTCAGCATAGGAATAATGACCCCTGCTAGCACCTCTGTCTGGAAGAAAGCCACCCCCCAGTTCTTGCCCCAATGCCAGACAATCCAGTTCCTCCCTGTATGTACCTGTCTCTCTCTCCACCGCCCCCAACCCCCCACCCCCAAGCCACTGTCCCAGCGCTGGAGCTTAGAGTGAGGAGTCTGAGTAAGTCCATGCACTGGCCATTTAAGAGGAACTTTTTGGGTCTCCAGCAGCCTTCGTGTCACTGAGACACAATCCCGCTGGTTTTTATAGCCGAAGTTACCGGGCTTCTCTTTCCTAATCTGGAACCCTGGCCTAAAGGGTTTGGTGTAGGTCTGGGACCCCTTGCTCCTCACGGGATACCTCTGTAGCTGAAATTAAAAAAAAAAACACACAAAAAAAACCCACACACATGGCCCTGGCCAGTTTTGTTCAGTAGTTAGATCATCAGTCCACGGCTGAAGGGTCATGGGTTCGATTCCCGGAGAAGGACATGTACCTCGGTTGCAGGTTCGATCCCCTGCCCAGTCGGGGTGTATACGGGAGGCAACCAATCAATGTCTCTTACATAGAAGTTTCTGTTTCTCTCTCTCTCTGCCCCCCCCCCTCCCTTTCCTCCCTCCCTTCCACTCTCTCTTGAAAGATCAATGGAAAAAATACCTTCAGGTGAGGGTTAAAAAAAGAAGAAAAAAAAAGCCACGTGGGTGTCAGACCAGCCTGTTCTGTGCCTCCACCCCTCCTACCAGTCTCAATGTGCTTTCTCCTCCTTCTCCTCCCCCCCCCCCTCTTTTTTTGGTTAATCCTCACCTGAGGATAGTTTTCCATTGATTTTTAGAGAGAGTAGAAGGGAGGGGGAGAGACAGAGAGAAAAAGAAACATCGATGTGCATCGATTGCTTGCCACACACACCCACCCTGACCAGAGCCAGGGGTCGAGCCTGCAACCGAAGTACGTGCCCTTGACCAGAATCGAACCCAGGACCCTTCAGTCCATGGGCCGGTGCTCTATCCACCGAGCCAAACAACCGGCTAGGGCTGTTTTCTTCTTTAATTCTCTAGTTGTAGGACTTCTATTCAGTCAGATTTCAGGCTGATGGTGGTTCTGTATTTTTGTTGTAATTTTGACGTCACCAAATGTTATCTTAACATTACAAATTGATAGGAGTATCCAAAGTTTGCACTGTCAGTTAGCATCATCCTTCACTAAAGGCATAACATGTTGATACCCTTTGACCTAATCTCACTTCTGACAAGTGTAGCTCAAGGAAATAATCCAAGAAATGAAAAGAACATTGGCCAAAGGTATCCCCTGTTTTCTTTATTTTTTTTTAATATTTTATTGATTTTTTACAGAGAGGAAGGGAGAATGATAGTGAGTTAGAAACACCGATGAGAGAGAAACATTGATCAGCTGCCTCCTGCACACCCCCTACTGGGGATGCGCCTGCAACCAAGGTACATGCCCTTGACCAGAATCGAACCTGGGACCCTTGAGTCCGCAGGCCGATGCTCTATCCACTGAGCTAAACCGGTCAGGGCTGTTTTCTTTTAATGAAAGTAATAAGTAGCATTCTAAATGTGTCAGGGGTCGGTCAGGTAAACAGTGAGGGGCCTATTTTAGGGAATATTAAAATTGATAGTCATGGGGTCTTGTAAGATGGAGGCAAAATATGACATTAAAAGGTTTTAAAACTGTCATGATAGCCACTATATAAAAATATAGGTGCCTGTGCTTACAGACTAACAGAAACATGCAGAGAGACTGGCTGCATTAGTATGATAAAATTGGACAATTTTATTTTCTTTCAGTTTTTAAATGTTTTACTGACATATAATCACATACTATACAGTTTCTCCATTTAAAGTATGTACATAATTCAGTGGTTTTTGTATATTCACAGAATTGTACAACCATCATAGTCCGTTTTAGAACATTTTCTTTCATCACCCCAAAAGGAAACCCCACACTCACCATTCTCTCTGCCCATCCACCCTCCCAGCCTCTGGATTTGCCTGTTCTGTATGTTTTATATAAGGAATCATAAAATACGCGGTCCTTCTATTAAAAATATTTTTTTTGTTGATTTCTGAGAGGAAGGGAGGAGATAAATATCAATGATGAGAATCATTGATCGGCTGCCTCCTGCACGCCCCCTACTGGGGACCGAACCCACAGCCTGGGCATGTATGTGCCCTGACTGGGAATCGAACTGTGACCTGGTTCATAGGTCGACATTCAACCACACTGGCCAGGCCACTGAGCATGTTTTCAAGGTTCATCCATGTTGTAGTGTGTGTCAATATTTCATTCCATTTTTTTTTTATGGTGTCCTTTGAAGCAGTTTTTAATTTTAATGAAATTTAATTTATCTTTGTTTTTTGTTGCTTGGATTTAGTCCCTCTGGCCCTGACACTGATTCATGAGGTTTAATATTTAAGCCTCGTGACTCCCGGACCCCTCTCCCCTGGCAGGATTGTTTGGGGCCTCCATCACTATATGGTTCTGAACTGAACCTAGTGGGCTCTAGGAGGCAGCCACATACACGAGGGGAGTTGCCTTCATTGGATCTTTGTTCAGAATCTAAACAGTTGCTCAGTGAACCTTGTGAAGGAAATGAGGAAAAGTGTTTCACTTAACTGACACCATCTTCCTTCTCACCCTATTCCACCCAACAAAGAAGGACACAGCTGGCTCTGAGAGCCGATGCTGGGGCGCTGGTCTGGGCCTGGTGGAGAGAGATGCAGAGGACCAGCCATGGCCCCTGGGAGAGAACAGCTGTGAGAAGGGGAAGGGGGATCTGAGGAGTGGGTAGGTCCGAGGGAAGGTACTGTGCTGGGCAGCAGGGGGGTGGGGAAGACCAGATGAATGAGGGAGGGAGTGTGGCTTTGAGGAGACCAGTTGTCCAGGTCCGGCCCAGCCCTGGTGCTAAGGGAGCTGCTTGTTCTCCCCATGAAACAGCTCCCCACAGTCCTGCGTGTCTACCCACTGGAAGGAGCCTCACCTGTCTACCAACTCTGAGTACCTAGGATTTGAGGTAAACAGTTTCCCAGATCCCCTCCCACAAGGACACAGTGCCCTGGCACGGAGGTGGGCACAGCACTCCTTGAATGTTAGGGGAGAAGAGGACCAGTGCCCACGCTGCACTGGGAGCCCTTGATTAGGTTCCCCATGTGGGCTGGGGGCTCACCTCACCAGCTTCTGTCCTCGCCCAGCTTCCCTCATCCTCGGGCTTTCACACAGGAAGTGCAAGTGACCACTGAGGTGACTAGCTTCTTGAAATGTGGAGGATGGAGGCTCTGGGCTAGTCACCCCCGGCAATGCGGGGCATCTTCAGGATCTAGGGATCCTGGTGACTACTCTCCTCAAGAAAATCAGTCCCAGCCCATCAGCCCTGCTCTGCCCAGTGTGGAGATTTATATGGGATTAAAAGGTGGCCAGAGCCCCCAAAGCAGGGGACACCTGCAGTAGGAGCCACAGGAGGCCCCGTGTGCTTGGGCTCAGCAATGAGGGTAGCTCTCTGAGTACCGTCACACACATTGTGCAGCAGCCCCTTGACACGTCAGTACCTGACTGGCAATAGGGGAGCTGGGAGCATAGTTCACGTCTGGGTTTTCCCTCCAGGTTCAGGAGAAGCCTCGAAGATGTCTAATGACCCGCCCCCTCCTTATCCTGGAGGCCCCACAGCCCCCCTCCTGGAGGAGAAAAGTGGAGCCCTGCCAACCCCAGGTAGGGTTCAGTGCTCTTTCCCTTGCCCATTCCAGCTGCTGAAGTTGTGCCTGGAGCCGCCCCTCCCACTGACAGTGGGGCTGGGCCCTCTGCATTTCTTTTCCCTCCTTCTGTCCAGGCCAAACCTCCCCTGCTGTGATGCAGCCCTCGGCAGGCATGTCACTGCCTCCTGCAGACATTGGCCCCCCACCTTATGAGCCACCAGGTCACCCAGTGTCCCAGCCTGGCTTCATCCCTCCACATGTGAATGCAGATGGAGCCTACATGCCTCCGGGTAAGTTGGGAAGAGATCCCATCGGAGCGCAGGTGTCTGCCCAGCCCAGCAGGCTGGTGTTGTGTGAGGGTGTTTACTGCTGGTTGGAGCAGGGGGACTGATTGTGGGCATGGAGGGTAGAAATGGGAAGGTGTCACAGAGCCAGGCCCCGCTGTGAAGGCACTATGGACGTGCCAGAGGAGCCCGGGGCTGCCAGGAGGGTTGACTCGTGGGAAGGCTCCTCAGGCAGTGGCAGGTGCTATGGACTCATGGGTGCTACAGGGGCCACTCCCTGCCAGACACTTGAGTCCATGGTGGAGGCCTGGTCTCCTGCTCACCTGGCACTCTTCAGAGGGACTACTCAAGCCAGAGAAGGACCCACAGTTCCTGCACAGGTGTCCCCAAGTCAAGTGGACCACATGGCACTGCAGTGCAGGACCTAACACTGGTGGGGAAGAGAGCCCTGTTTGCATAAGAGGGGCTGAGGAGCAGTGAGGCTTTCCTTCCTGTGGTTGAGGGCATTGAGCACAGTGCCCAATCCCATGTGTCAGAGGCAGGGAGCCAGTGCATTGAGCTGAGACCGAGGGGTAGAGTGGGCCTTATTCTCAGCTGTCTTGTCTGGCTGGGTCAGGTATCTTCTCTGTTTTGGTCCCCATGGGGCAGAGACAAGGAAGGTCTAGGACTGGTCCCTCAACTGCGCCCTGGGTGCTGGGGACTTTGTACTTAACTCTCACGTGAGCACAGTGGGGTGACAAGCCAGTGACTCGTCTGCTCTGTCTTCTGTGCCATTCCAGGTTTCTACCCTCCTCCAGGTCCCCATCCACCCATGGGCTATTACCCGCCAGGGCCCTACCCGCCAGGGCCCTACCCACCAGGGCCCTACCCTGGTCCTGGCGGACACACAGCCACGGTCCTGGTCCCTTCAGGGGCTGCCACTACGGTGACAGTGCTGCAGGGAGAGATCTTTGAGGGTGCACCTGTGCAGACAGTGTGTCCCCACTGCCAGCAGGCCATCACCACCAAGATCTCCTACGAGATTGGCCTGATGAACTTCGTGCTGGGCTTCTTTTGCTGCTTCATGGGGTAGGTGGTATGGGTGCTTGAAGGGTGGGGGCTGCACTTGCCCATTACCCAGCTGGAGTATGCCCAGTGCCCTCGGCACATTCTCTTCAGGCCTCCCCTTCTCTGATTCAGGTGTGATCTGGGCTGCTGCTTGATCCCCTGCCTCATCAACGACTTCAAGGATGTGACGCACACGTGCCCTAGTTGCAAAGCCTACATCTACACGTACAAGCGCCTGTGCTAACGGAGCCTGGACTGGACTCCCCGCTGTCAGTCTGGACTCTGTGCTTTGCTCCCTACACTCAGTGGCTCTGTCCCCACTCCCGCTTGGGGGTGGAAGGTGTTCCACCAGTCCCCTGGAACTCTTGTCTTTGCCTTGCCCTTCCCTGAGCATCTGACCTCCGGCAAAATTGTTGGATTTAAGGCCAAGAGTCAGCAAGTGGCAGGGAGCTGGCACTGAGCATGTATGTTGCTGGTTTGCTTGGTGTTTGATTAGGAAGATACACTGGGAAAGGTCTCTACTGGGGTCTCACTCCTCTGTTCTTATATGAGGTATAAGTTTGGTCCTTATTCTTGTGGGGCCAAAAGCAGCCAGAGCAATGGCTAGTTTTCCAGACCTGGGCCTACAGTGGGGCTGTTCCTGTAGCCACAGTTTCTAATCTGCTGGGCCAAGAGTGGGGACGTGAACCCAAACAGGACGGAGTCCTAGGCCAGGGTTCCTGGGGTGCTAGAGGTAGCATGACTATCAGAAGGAATGACTCCCACCAGAACTCTCAGGAACTCAACACCTTGTCCAGGTGTCCAGCAGCCTCATGGAATTAAGAGTCAGCACAACTGCTATTCATGGGATAAGTGATTTGGCCCTGGCTCACCAAGAGACTTGCCTCTAGCCCCTGCCTAGCTCCCCTTCCAAATGCCTCTGTGAACATGTCTTTACTGGGGCCAGAGGAATCCCCAGGAGCCCAGCCCCTCTGTCCAAAACATGTCCTTGCTGCGTGTGGGCATGACCTTTGCCTGGAGGCTAATGTATTCCAACTGGGACCAGAGATGGCAGATAGGCCCCTCCCTGCAGGCACACTCAAGGTTTACAGTGCTCTCTGTAGATCCTCTCTCTAATGAACGCTGGGCGCTTCACCCAGGTTGACTCACTATCACTGTGCTTGCTCCAGGCACTATAGCAGGAACAACTGTAGCACTGGATTGGGGACCAGGAAGGAGCAACCACAAGTGGCGGAAGTACCCTGGTGGACTAGCCCTACCCTGGGCCTGAGGCCATGCTGTCTTTCTTTTCTGAATGGTTTGTCGGTGAACTTGCACCTGTGGACCGCTGTACCCTGCTGCCACCCCTCTCCTGGTCTCACACTGCCACTGCATGGCCTTCTCCCACTGTGAATTGTGACCAGTCTGTTTGTAGTTTCTCATTAAATTGGTCCGTTCACTCCCCTGACCTGGGCCTCTGCTCTCTTGCCTGGCTTCCTTCTTTTGCAAGGGGAAGAGGGTGGGGCTACAGGTAGTCTTAAGGGCAGGGGGTCAAGTCTTCAGGGTCTCTCAGTGCTTATGCTATACCGACTGCCAGGGATGACACTAACATTTAAGTACCTAATTAAATTTAAAACAAGCCAGAGTTCGTGTGGAGGAGCCCTGGCATTCCAGCTATGACTGGGCCAGGGCATGTGTTGACTATCTTACTATCTGATACTGGTTTTACCCATCTCCACATCACAGCATCCACCATGGGATCTATAGGCTGGAGCCCTCCAACTGAAGCTCAGGGTCATCCTACTCTGGAAGCAGGTAGCTTCACTCCCTTAAGCAAGACAGAGACACTGGGCTAAGGCTTCGGGGGGGTGGGGGGGGAACAGTTTAGGCCCCAAGTTCTGGGCCAGCTCTGCCCCTACCCTCATCTGAATTGTAGGGGTAGGTAGTCTTGGTCAGTAGTTTAAAAAAAAAGTTTCCCCATCATTTAACCCTTTTGTGAATAAAATGTTCAGATCCTCAATTATATAAAACAATAGATGCCTATTAATAAAAATATTTAAGTTCACATTTCTATTTTAGACAATCAATTATTCAATACAAGTACATGGTTTTTTATGCTTATTTATAAGGTAACTAGCAGTCTTGGAACACAGCAGGAGGAGGCTGTCAGAGACCAGCGAGGATGACATCTGTGCCAGGAAGGAGGCAGCTGTCAAGAGTCCACTTTATTGAGTGCTGTAGCATGACACAGGTCAGGAGGAGATAGGCCATGGCTGGACGCACCCCACTTGGGGGTTTCTGCTAGAGACAGATAAGGACTGGCTGCCCAGGCAAGCCTGGCTTCTGTCTGCTCACCACATGCCCAGGTGAGCCCCCCAGTAGAGCAGGAGCATCCGGGGAGTCCCTTCCCTCCCACAGGGCTACAGCACCTCGCCTTGGCCTGGCTGGCTGCTCCGCTCCCAGCAGGGGAAAGATACCCACCTAAATGATGACACAGCAGGAACAAAAGGAGAAAAACCTCAGGGTGAGAGGTGTGGGTGCCCAGGAGCAGAGCTGGTTCCACAGGCCCAGGCCGGTCACTGAGCTGCACTAGCTGTTCCCAGTGCTACAGCCTGGGCAGCTGCAGGAAGGGTGAGCCTCTACTCAGCTCAGCATCTGTCAGCAGAGGACACTAACAGGCAGAGGCTTTAGTGTCTGGCTTTTATTGGTTGCTTTTCTCAAACCCAGCATTTTTAAAAAGTCACCTGGGGTGGTGGTTTTGTCACAGGTAGAGGCGGGAGCGGGCCAGCAGTCACTCAGGAGGAGGGCGCCAATGTGGTGATGGGTCTTTCACATGTAGTACCAGGCCAAGAGGCCAGCAGCCAGAGCCACACTGGCGGCCAGAATGAACTGGAGGCTGGGCTTGCTCAGCACAGCTATGGCTGTTCCAACGGGACAACTTCTACCCTCCAGGGCACCTGTGTGGCAGCACCAACAGGGACATGGCATCAGTGGGAATGCTGACACACCTGCCCTAGGAGGAGAGCTCGGGATATACAAGACCTACCTTTGTCTTGGTTAGCAGTGTAATAGGGGCATTTACGCACATCTCCTTTCCCATTGTGCACGGGGAGCCCATCTTCCACGATCTCTTTGGCCAGCAAGGAGCCAGCCTGGTCCAGTTCATTGAATACCTGAAGGAGCAGAGGAGCAACACCATCACTGGACTGCTTAACTCTGCTTTCAGAGAAAAACCTCTTTCTTCTGCGCAGAGGGAGCTGGAGCAGGTAAGGTTTGCTCAGCAGGTAAGGTTTGCTCAGGGGTGCAAACCAGCAAAACGGCAGCTGCACTTGGGGACACTGACCTGGCACTTCTCCCTGGCACAAGCTCTGGGAAGTATGGTCGTACCTGTGCTGTCCAGCAGCCTACAGCTGCTGACCATGGTGGATCTTCCCCGGGCACTAACCACACACAGCCCACGACTGAAACTATCCAAGGTACAGACATGAGAGTAAAAAAACACTCTTTGAGCCATGGTACTTCCCCACTTCCAGCTGCTGGGTATTTTTAGCAAGAAGCAATAGGAAAAGGAATACGGAAGAATAAGGCCCTAGCAGGGCTGACCCATCCTGAGTAGACCCTGGAGCCCCCTGATGTCAGGTTAGAGGGCTGACAGGCCTGTGGTTAGGCTGATGCTTCACTTCCCTCCAGGGCCACTTGACTGGTGCCTGGATTCTGGGGACAGAATCAGCCTCAGCCCCATCTAAAGGGTACCTGTAAACTGAGTTATGCTCCTTGCTCTCCGTTGTTCTCTCCCTGAACTCACCAAGCAAGACTTTTCATAGCAATCCATGCTAAAAAGGAAGAACTCCATTCCTCAAAACCAGAATCCTGTGGTGAGGGGGAGGGAGACAACTCCATTCTCCCCAAGCTCACATCATGGTGAGGCCTCACCCTTCCCAAAAACAAAACACAGAGGCGGTCTATCAAGTAAAGCAGAGCTATCACTGGACTCATGCCCTCTGTGGCCTATTTGGTCCCTCGAATTTCTCTCGGGCTGGCTGTAGAGCATTTGTCCTAATGCACCAGTGTCCATTTGGGCAGTTCTGATCAGCTCACACCATCAGAGGCCCCTTTCCACCCGGCCCCAAGCAGTACCTGCATGTTGTACTCAAAGGCCCTGTTGGCCTCCTCCACAATCTTCTCTTTGGTTTTCAGGTTCAGGTCCAGGGCATTCATCCTGGCCCGGTAGAACTGTTTGAACTGTTGTGCGTTGTCCACATTCTCAAACAGGTAAAATTGGGTCCCCTCCCCTGTGCTGGGGAGTTTCAGAGCCCTCTGGGCCACCTTCTTAAGCACCTGGCCCCCCGAGAGGTCCCCCATGTAGCGGGTATAGGCATGGGCCACCAGCAGCTCCGGCTCATTCTGCCCCACATGGTGGATCCGCTCCACATACTTTTGGGTGGCCTCAGAGCACTGCACCTGCTTCTCCCAGTCCTCACCAAAGAAATACTCCATGTCCTTAATCAGTGCCTCCTTCCGGTGCAGCTCCATGGGGAAGTACAAGGGGGCGAAGGCTGGATGGTGCTGGTTGCGGTCCATTTCCTCCTCGAGGGCTGAGTATGTGAAGTAAAGTGCAGTAGTGGCCAGCTGTTGAGGGTGATGGGGAGAGACCAATGGAAAGGACTGTGGGCCTTGGGTAGCAGCTCCAGAGCCTACCGCCCACCGTGTCTGAGCAGCTGAAGGCAAAGGCTTGAACAGCAACCCCCTTTCCTGTCCCCAAAAGCCCATTTTTATACAGCGAATTATTTCACACACTCAGAAAACTCATGTTTCTATAAGGAATGACATGGTGAATTCTTTGGACATGGATACTTCTGCTTTCTTTACATCACTATGTTATTCCACTTAAGCCATGGAAACTATAGCCTGGCATCAGAAAAGAGGAGAGTGTAACAAAGGCCTTGCTTCTCCCTTGGAGCAACTCCAGGGGGACCTTTCTCATGGGACGATGGCCCCCTAACCCGAACCCATCCATGACCGAGCCACAAACCTTAAACAGCTCTTTCTTGATGTTGCCTTTCAAGAAGTCCTTAACAAACTGGGTGTTTTCTGCCCGGTCATGTGCTTCTTTGGTCCCTTCCTTTAGGAGCTCAGAGAGGTCAGCCATCCTGTAGAGCAGCGATTTTCAAACTTTTGCATTTCATGGCACACATAAACTAATTACTAAAATTCTGTGGCACAACAAAATATATTTATTGTCAATCTGACCAAAAAAATATGTATAATTATGATTGGTTTATAAAAATAATAGTACTTACCTACTCTTTTTGCTCCAAAGTGACTTTAAAAAATCAGGTGCCTATCCTTACTATATAATAAAAGGCTAATATGCAAATCAACCAAACTGCAGAATGACAGGTCACTATGACGTGCACTGACCACAGGGGGCAGACACTCAATGCAGGAGCTGCCCCCTGGTGGTCAGTGCGCTCCCACAGGGGAGCGCCACTCAGCTAGAAGGAGGCTCATGGCTGGGGAGCGCAGCGGCGGTGGCAGGAGTTTCTCCCACCTCCACAGCAGCACTAAGCTGTCAATCGGACATCCCCCAAGGGCTCCCGGACTGCAAGAGGGTGCAGGCCAGGCTGAGGGACACCTGACACCGAGTACATGAATTTTGTATACCGGGCCTCTAGTACTTGTATATAAGGTTTTCTGATACCAAGAATTAACCAATCCTTAATTTGTGATGTGACCAATAAAATGCAACTCTATATATGACCTATATATTTATGGTTCAAAACAGGCAGTCACTGGATGGCTATTGTGTTGGCTGTTGTCATTTCTTTATTTGACAATCTAAGGGAAAAGAGGTCAGTGCCCCTGACTAACTAGTCAGGTATTGCACATTTTAAAAATTCTTGCAGCACACAAGTTGAAAATCACTGCTAGAGAGAGACCAGGTGTGTGTGTGTGTGTGTGTGTGTGTGTGTGTGTATACATGTACATGTATGTGTGTATGAATTAGCCCTTCTCAGCTCCAGCATGTCGCTTGCTAAGCTGATAGGCAGGGGCTGCTCAGAAACTCAACTCCAGCATAGATGCATCGTCTTACCAGGAAGCACAGGGCAAACAGATATGTCTGCTACCAAGGACTTGCATAACACGGGGGACAACTGTGGCCTGCCTCTCAGCAGTGTCCCAGTCTCTGAACCACCCAAATGAACGATGCTTTGCTTCTATGGCCACCTAGTACCCAAAGAAACACACCTGTGTTCCCTCTGCTGACTTCTCCAGGGAATAGCCAGCCCTGGGGAATGTCTCCCAGAATACATACAATTGTGAAGGACTGACTGTGGATCTTCTAGACCCACAGCCTCTTCAGGATTACATGTCGCTGAGAATGAGACAAATGCTGGGAAAGTTGGAGCCAAGCAGGACCTGTGTGTGCTGCCTAACAAAATTACGCAGGATGAAATTGTGCCGCTTGATGCCAGTTCCAGACAAAGCAGAGAATGCACGACCCTAAAGATGGTGGCACTGGTAGGGGCTTGTGTGTACACACAATCTGTCTACTAGAGTGAGAAAAACTTGGCCTCTCATGGCCCAGCCTCTGCTGGCTTCTTTAGCAGAGTAGCAAGTATCACATTCTGACAGTAATTTAATATTAGCAATTATTTCAAGTTATAAAACCAACTTTGCGTCCTGGCCAGTGTGCTCAGTGGTTAGAGTGTCAGCCTGCGCACTGAAGGATCTCAGGTTTGATTCCTGGTCAAGACACACAAGACCTGGTCAAGACCATGTACTTGGGTTGCAGGTTTGATCCCCGGCCCCAGTCAGGGTGCATGTGGGGGGGGCAACCAATCGATGTGTGTCTCTCTCACATTGATGTTTCTCTCTCTCCCTTCCCACCCTCTTTCTTCCACTCTCTCTAAAACTCAATGGAAAAAATATCCGCGGGTGAGGATTAACCAGAGAGAGAGAGAGAGAGAGAGAAAACTTTGCCCATGATGAGAGGATAATAATGGAGAACAGGCCCCAGTAACTTGAGGCTTAGAGGAACTGGTCCTACCCTGTAAGAAAAACCCCTGGAGTTGGAGTTGTTCCCACATTCTAAGAGTCTGTGGAAGATACTGGAAAAGATGCCAGTTTTGCCTCTAATTACTCTTTCTCTCCCCAGACGACAAAATGCTTAGGGTTTTAGAAGAAAAAGGACCAGGATCACCATCAAATTCTGTTACTCAGCACCCTTAGCAGTGCCTGCCTGTCTCCTCTGGGACACACAGGGAGAGTGCTGAGCAGCCAGGGTGCTGTCTGCTGTCTTGGCCAGGCACTTTGAGGGCCACAGCAGCAAGGCTCCTGACTGTACCTGGTGCCTGCAGCACAGGCAGCCACGTGTGCTAGGCATGCAGGCCCTGGCTCCGCTCTTGGCCCATCCTCACCTGCTGGGGGTTTCCCTTTTCGGGGCGGACCTCTGTTTCTCTGACTCTTCTACCCCCTCGGAGGTCTCCAGTTCCATTAACATTGTTGCGAGTGTGGTTCTTGCTGCCCTTACTCCTTGGGCCCTGTGGAGATAAAAGGAACAGGTGATGTGGAGCCCACATCAGTCATTTCCCCAAATAACCTGCTAGCTCTGCTCTCCTCAGAGCCACCTCACCAAGGAGTCAACCACACTTCTCAGAGGTGTTTTCCTTCTAATAAAGCTCTGCCGTCACTGGGACTATATGTGAATATGGACAGAATTTTATTATGGACAGTGGATTAGGTAATCTATATATATATAAAAATAGAGAAATATGCTAATTAACTGGGACACCATAACGGGTTGATTGGACAGGAGGTTGCGCGCGCAGCGTCGGGGCGGAGTGGCAGGGGCCTCCGTGTGCCTGCGCTGGGGCCTGATCAGCAGCAGCTGCAGCTGCTTCAAGGGCCGGAGAGGGAGGCAGGGCCAGACCGGAGGGTGGGTGGCACTGCGCGATTTTAAATTGCACGCTGGGCTCCTAGTAGCACTATGTTGGTGTTGAACTTGCTTTTTTTATTTTGTACTGTGATTATGTAAGAGAATGTCCTTGTTTTAGGAAGTACATACTGAGGTATTCAAAAGTAAAGAAACAGGCCATCTGCCACTTACTGTCCAATGGTTCAGAAAACGTGTGTGTGTGTGTGTGTGTACATATACGTACAGGAGAGAGGGAGGGAGGGAGACATGCAGTGAAGCAAGGCAAAATGCTTATGGTGACTGGTTAAACGGTACACAAGAATTCTTTGTACTGTTCTTACAACTTTACTGTATGTTTAAAATTGTATCAAAATTAAAAGTTACCTAAAACATAAAATACATAATCATAGATAAAGCTTAAAGGAAAAAAAAGTGCAACAGTTCTGATTTGGCAGCAAGCACATTTGTAGCCAGGCCGTCCTACCTGTTAAAGGCGTGGTGGCCTCATGCAGAGGGCAGTGGAGCAGGGCACTAAACTGTTAAGCCAGGCAGTTTGGAGCAGCTTCACTTTAAAGGAGAGAAGCTCAAAAGGTACCCAACAACCTACATCAGCTATACTGAGTCAACAAGCAAGCTGATTGTCCCCAGTCTACTCCAAACTCTGCTGGGCTAAAGGAAATAACGCGTTGGCTAGTCAGTATCTGCTGCCAGGAGTGGGCCTCCGTCAGCCAGGGAAACACGGCCCTACACCATACAAGCTCATCCTCCACCCTGGAGGCCTCCGCTCTTCCAGTGCAAAGGGGCAGCCCCCTCTGGGGACTTGCCAGATGAACAGCAGCAAAGATGCACAGAGCTACCAACACTGGGGCCAAATCAAGCCAAGGAAAGAACAGACCTTCATTTTTCTATTTACTGAGCATTTTCTATCTACTCTACCCAGAAACGGGTGTCAAGGGGGGGCGGGGAGGGAAGAAGAGTATGAAATGGTCCTTTTCAAAGGTTATAAAGAAGAAAAGAGCCCTGGCTGGTGTTGCTCAGTGGTTGTAGCGTTGGCCCAGAGATGGAAGGGTCTCAGTTTTCCATTCCCGGTCAAGGGCATATACCTGAGTTGCATGTTCAATCCCCAGCCCTGGTTGGGTGTGTGCGGGAGGCAGTCGATCGGCGTGTCTCTCACATTAATGTTTCTCTCTTTCTCTCTAGCCTTCCCTCCTCCTCCCCTCAACCCCCCTTCACTCTAAGAATGGAGAAAATATCCTCAGGTGAGGATTAACAACAAAAATAAGTAAGAAAATAAAAACCAATGTCTGTCTTATCCCACAGAGATAACCATTGTTGGTACACATCCTTTCTGAGTTTTCTCTAGGCATATAGTCACATCTGTTACCTTTTGGGATGTTACAGTGGTTTACTCAGCATGATCTTTCTGAACCTTCCCTTTCCTTTAGGTTTAGCAATGGGATTAATGACAGGAATTAAATGAGAACATGGAAGGTAAAGTTTTAGCATAGCACTCAGTAAATATTAAATAGGATTGTTTGTACTTATATTTTGATTGTGGCTTACTGATGTTCTCCAAGAATGCTTAGAAAATAAATATCAAAAAGTGAAATAAGCCGAAACCGGTTTGGCTCAGTGGATAGAGCGTCGGCCTGCGGACTGAGGGGTCCCAGGTTCGATTCCGGTCAAGGGCATGTACCTGGGTTGCGGGCACATCCCCAGTGGGAGATGTGCAGGAGGCGGCTGATCGATGTTTCTCTCCCATCGATGTTTCTGACTCTCTATCTCTCTCCCTTCCTCTCTGTAAAAAATCAATAAAATATATTTTAAAAAAAAAAAAAAAGTGAAATAAGCCCTAGTCGATTTGGTTCAGGGGATAGAGCATCAGCCTGTCGACTGAAGGGTCCTGGGTTCGATTCCGGTCAAGGGCATGTACCCCAGTTGCAGGCTCCTCCCTGTCCCCGGCCCTGGTCAAGGCATGTGCAGGAGGCAACCAATTGATGTGTTTCTCTCACATCGATGCTCTCTATCTCTCCCTTTTTCTTCCACTTTCTCTTAAAAAAAAATCAATGGAAAAATATCCTCGGGTGAGGATTAAAAAAAAAAAGTAAAGTAAGCAGACAAAAAATATGCATGGTACCACTTATATGGGGAATCTTTAAAAAAAGAGGAGGGCTGAAGTCACAGAAACAGACAGTAGACCAATGGTTGTCAGGGGCTCAGGTGGGGCAATAGGTTAGTAAAAGAGTACAAATTTTCAGTTATAAGATACATAAGGTGTTATGTTAAATCAGAAGCTTCCTAAGAGCCCAATCATCAAGACTCCCTCAGACTATTTCTCAGAGTCCAATACCATGTTCTAAACCACTTAGAACCCAGCATCCTGGGGAGTCACCAACCTGAATTATAATTGGTGCAGTTGCACAAAAGTAATGCTTACTGAGAAAGCTTGCTAAATAAAAGGAGGCGGTGTGTGAATAAGAAAATATTAATTAAATTATAAAATACCAAGTAAAATAACAAAACTGTTAATTGGGTACTATGTCTCTAAATTAGCTGGTATGAAAGCTGGTTTTACCTTTCTTCAGATCTGACTGACTCCCTTCTTTCTCCCTCTCCTTCCCAACTCCCCTCCTGTGGTATGGATTTTCTAATGGCTTATTTATATTTCTCAAGCCTCTGAGCTGGCCCAGGCCCTTCTCACACCTCAGGGCCCAGCTGGGCTAGCTATTGCATTTACCTATCTATGCTGTGTTTTCTTTGTTGCTCCTGGAAGGCTGAGGATCTCCCCTGCAGTCCCTGCCCTAAGATGCTTTCCACAATCAGAGCTGCACATTGGTTCCCCAGTACCTCTCTGAATGCTCCATACAGGTCGAGTTCCACATCCACTACCCTGACCCAGCAGGCTGCTCCTCACCACGCCTGTGAGGACAAGCAATCCATCAGACTCTGGCTCCTTTCCTTAACCAGAAAGGAGGTCAGTGAGGCCTCTGGTTCCTTCTATCTGAAGGCCAGCCTCTGATAACTAGTACAGCTTCCTTCCCACAGCCATGGGTTGTGTGGTTGTGGCTGTGTGTGTGTTTATTCTCTCCACTCTTCAGGCAGAACAAATAACCTCTTAATTGTATACATCTTTGTCTATGATCTCACCTTAACCACTTATATTGTGATATTCAGGAGGGTAGCAGTTCAAAAATGATATATTACCTCCTACAGAAACCATGTGTCATATGTGACCCATAAATATTTTTGGTGGTAAAACACAGAATACAAGAATCCCAGACTGTCCGGCCCAGTGGCTCAGTGGTTGAGTGTCGACTTATGAACCAGGAAGTCACAGTTCAATTCCCAGTCAGGACACATGCCCAGGTTGCAGGCTCGAACCCCAATGTAGGGTGTGCAGAAAGCAGCTGATCAATGATTCTCATCATTGATGTTTTGATCTCTCCCTCTCCCTTCTTCTCTGAAATCAATAAAAATATTTTTTTAAAAGAATCCCAGACTCTCCCTGTTACTTCTCTCATTAGATAGCCTAAAGGCTTTTCACTTTTAAGTGAGAATACCTGTTTCTATTTAACAATACCATAACCAAGCTAAGTCAATGCTTAATGGTGCCACATACTCTCAGCAGATATAAACAAATAGGTGTTTGCCTATCACTAAAGTTCTGTTCTGAGTATCTATCTACATAGAAAGAGTAAATTCTAACATCGTACTTATACCCCTATATACGATCTGGGGAACAAAAAAATGCTGGGGCTACTGTGGAAGGAACAGAAGTGAACAAGCCAGGGAAAGAAAGCTGCATTTCTTCAGAGCTTCCAAACCTCTCCAGCTCTCTCAATTTTTCACCTGTAAAATAGAATACCTACCCATCGTTCAAATACTGAGAGGATCACATAAGACAATAACTGTGAAAACACTTTATAACAAATATTAACTTATTCAAAAGTTACAAAAAGAATTGAGAATGAACTCACAGCTGTTGACCAGCTGGTCTACCTACCCTAAGAGAGACGCCTGGTGAGTTTTTCAGACCTTGCTAGGATATCAGGAAACTCAACAGGAGGAAAAAGCCCTGTTCCTGGTGGTGTGGAGATGAACTTGTTCTCCTTAGCACTGTTTAAAATCCAGCACTTTTAACGGTATACCCCACACCATCGGACAGTTTTGCATCCGTCCTGCAAACGGATGTGCTGAGGAGGTACAACCTGTTTTCTGAGTTAGGTAAATAAGCAGACAAACCTCAGGGAGGCTGGAATGTGGGGTAGGAGACGACGTGTCAGTTTCCTAGGGCCACTCCTGGGTTTCAGCTCACTGTTGATTATTGCTATAGACCCAGCTCACCTTCGGGAATGGAAGGGCAACTGGGTCCTGCATAAAGGGAATGGTTTAGAGCTAAAAAGATTTTGTTTGAGATTTGGAATCCTAATGCTTAGTAACTCCATGACTGTAGGTAAGTCATAACCTCTGAAAGTATTTGTTTCCTCATCCATAAAACAGGATAACAAAACTTTCTTTGCTTCACATTCTCATGTGTGCTGTGAAGACTAAAGCTAGCCTGTGTAGCTGTTTCATGAAATGTAATGCTGCTTCAATTACTGATAATCTCTTATTGAGACAGTTGTT